CACCAGACTTTTCCATCTCTTCTTCCTCGATTCTGCTGTCTCAGGCAGCAAGGGGACACTGAAGACCCCTGTTCATTCCTTTTGGCCACCAGAGAGAGACTGTGAGGGGCAAACTTCCGCAGACCACAGGCTGAGGGCAAAGGGGGTCAGGCTCTCTCCCAGGAGGGGATACCAGTGGTAAGAGTGGGGCTGTGGAAGCCAGACAGCAGCTGTGCCCACTCAAAGGCCGTGGCATCCATTCTCACAGACCTGGGATCGAGTCACCCGCCACCTCCTCTAACAGTCACAGGAGGAAAGCCTCCTAGAGCCCCTGTCGCTTTCTGGAGACCTAGGGCTCCTGGGTGGCAGACTCGGAGAGCTGAGTGGTTCCCAGCAGGGACACTAAGTGGTTCCCAGCGGGAACTGGGGGGGGGGGGAGCAGGTACTTGGGACTGAAGCTGGCTTCCAGAGCTTAGGGAAAGTCACCATACTTTGTCTCCTTAGTTGGCCTGTTTGTATAATGGAGTCATCATCATGGTGACCACCTCCCACGCCACAGTCCGATTGCTGAAGGATTGCAGGCCGTGTGGAACCACCCTTGTACGACATGAGCACCCGATAAATGTTGCATATTGAGATCTCGGGGCTCTGCAGCTTTCAAAAACCCTTCACACATGTTATCTCACTTGACCTTTATTACAGCTTTGAGAAGTGCATAGGATGGGTCAGCTGACTGTGCACTGCCCACCCCACGCTCCCCACCCCCTCCTAATGAACTGCATGGGCCTGTTAATCTGTCTTGAAAAAAAAAATCACCCTTTCGAGCAAACAGCTCTCGGGTCCCACTCAGGGTGAGCTGGCAGACATTCTGCACTCGGCTGTCCCTCTGGCTCTCTTGTGAATATGGATGAAGCTGGAGACGTGGGGAGCTTGGCTGGGAAAAGCAGGGCTCTTTCCTATGGAGTTCATTTGACCCCCCGCCCCTCCCTAGGCTGTTAGGTCTCAGAGCCTGCTGGATTGGGGAGGAACAAGAAGAGTGTCACCTGCTGAGGGGACCTGGGTCCTTCCTAGAGCCACAGGGCAGATAGCCCACTGTGGGGGATGGAAACCCTCCTCTGTGATCTGGGGGCTGGATCCCCACAAGGGCAGTCTACTCATGTCCGGAAGACTACTCTCTCTCCACCAATGGAGAGGCAGACAGGGCAAGATAGGAGTGTAGAATCCGACTCTCACTCACTTTCTCTGCTGCAGTTCCTCTCCCCGTAAAATGGGTGGGATGCTAACAAGGGGGCTTCAGGAGGTTCTTCCTCATCCCACAGAGAAGTGAGTGGAGGGTGGGAACTGGACTTGGCCATAAGTCTGGCTGCCTAGTGTGTGTGGGCTGGGCCAAGCGGCTGTCCCATGTCATAGCTGTACTAGTGCAAGGCCAAGCTGCTGAGAATAACAAAGAAGCTAAGGGCTAAAACCCAGGGACAGGCTGGCCCCACACACGCTAGTCGCTAGTCGTTCCTAAGAATGGTCTGTTCTGCATGTGTCAAGTGAGAACTTCCGGTGGGGGCCTGCTCCCTTTTAAGGCCTCTTCAGCCTTGCTCCTCTGTGGAAGAAAGCTCCCCAGGCTAAGTTGTATCTCGCAGAGGCACTTTCTGGACCAACTCCCTCCCTGTCCCAGGAGCCAGCAGTACCCCCTTAGCCTGCCTCCCAACTTCGCATCTCCAACCCAAGCTCATTTTCCAGTCAAAAGAGCCTGTCAATTGCTTCCTCCTGCCCCTCACTGCCCTGCCCTGGTGCCGGTCAGACTGCCTCCAGTACCACCCGGCTCTCCTGATACAAGGCTGGCTGTTCCCAGCCTCTGATCACCAAATCAGCAGGCAGGGTCGGAGGTATGGGTTCTTGAGCCAGGCCCTACCAATGACTGGCAGCTAAATCAGGCCTCTCTCATCAGACCTCAGTCTTCCCAAATTAAAGGCAAATATCCCAGCCTGGCCGGCTGAGATACCACATCCATCTGGAAACCTCATGTCTTGGTTATATGCTATACTTGGTGCATCTTTTTCCCACAGCATCTTTGTTGAAAGATGTGGAGATTCCCTAAGCTAAATCATGTCCCGTGGTCTCTAATCACAGCTTAGGTGACCTGTAAACTTAAGCTGTGGGGCTCAGGAACTCTGTGGCCCTTTGAAGGGTGCCTCTTGGGTATGTCCTGTCTATCATCTCACTGGGATATCCAAGCAGGCTGTGATGATTCTGGAGTGCATGGTCCAGGGGCTGAGTCTGCAGAAGGCAGGCAGGCACCATGCAAGGGAAGGGAGGAGGGTCTGCAGGTAGGGTGAGGCAATTTTACACCATTTGGAAGTTCTGCCTTTTAAGGAGAGATGGTTGTCAAGTTATATCACAGTAGTAGCAGGCATCCTGGTATATCTCACGGCTGCGTGGAATCAGAAGTAATATAGCATGTTGCTATATCATCAACTGGTGGCTTCTCTTTCTGAGCATCTTTTACCCAGCAATTAAGTGAAATTATGTGACTCAGCGTGGAAAGATAATCGCTGGAGGAACTCTTCTGATTGTGCTCTCTGCACGTGTGGTGGGTGGCTGTGCAAACAGCGGGGTGGCGGGAGAGGAGATGAGCATGGAAGGGCTGCTGTCAGCCGCGGGGTGCCTGGGCATGGATAGAACGGCTCACGGAAAAGAGAAGGAACAGAGATGGGATTCTTCCTCACACCGGCGGCAGCAGAATGGCCTAGGGCAGTGGCCATCAGGACAAAAGGATGTAACAGAATCCTTAACTCCAGCAGTGATGACTTCTCAGGTGCCCTGTCCCAGCCAGCCAGCTCTTCAGAGCTCTATGCAGGGGCCCAGGGCCACAAAACAAGACAGTTCTCACATGCAAGTTGAGAGTCCCAGAATGTTCTTGAGCCTCCCTCCCGGTCCTATCCACGTCTGCCTGACTTAGTCCCCCACCCGACGATTCCTCCCTCCTCCCATCTGTTCCCCAAACTCTGGGCCTGGAAGTGAGATGACTGTGCTCCCCCACCTTAGTCCTCCCACCTCAGCCGAGCGCCAGGCTGCCCAGTTTCCGCCCTGTAAGGAGGAGGCGAGGAATGTGGAGATCGGGAAGCCAGGGGTCTTACCGTGGGGGAGAAGAGGTCAGGATAGAATTCCTTGGTTAACAGACAAACAAAGGCATCTGTGTATGTGCTTGGCCACCAGACTCCCAGCCAGTGCCAGCTGTACCACTGATGTGATCCTTCATCGTGGTCTGGGCGCCAAGAGACAGTCTTGGAGGAGACTCACGCTGAGGGGGACTGAGGGGGACTGAGGGGGACTGAAGGGGACTGCTGGTGTAGCCCAGGCCCCCGCTGCATCTTGGAGGACAGAGATTCGGCCACTTCTCAGATTTATGACAGTGTTTCTTTCAGCACTCTGCAGCTTGGTCGCAGTGCTTACTTTAGAATACAAAGGCAGGTCTTCGCTCTGGAACTCGGCATTCACGATTCTCCCTCATCTGATTCCAGCTATCTTATCAGGATTCTCACCGCCCACCCGTCATGCTTTACTCAGACTGGGCTATTCACTGTTTTGGAAGGGTGTCTGCCACTAGAAATGGAAACCCTTGGGTCGTTGTCACAGTTCCCTCCTAGGCCGTATAGACATTACTAGTGGACCCAGCCTCATCTAGATGCCTTCTGGGTCGAGCCTGCAGGCAGCCACTGATGAGTGAAGCACCACCCCGAGATGCGACTTGAATTGTTTGCCATCCCTCTTTGCCTTTGTTCACGTCTGTCTGTCTGTCTGTCTGTCTGTCTGTCTGTCTCTCTCTCTCCACCCTTATCTACCAAAATCCCATCTTGCTCTCAAGGTTTGGCTAAGATGTCAGCTCCTCCATGGGCAACTCCAGGTCCTCTGTCACACTGTCCTTTTTACTGATAATAGCAGGGCCTTTGCTCTCAAACCCCGTGTCCTTGGTAGCCGAAGCCAAGCCTTGATCACTTTATCTATCCTGCAGATCTGGAATTCATGGCCCTCTCAAGGAGTCCAGTGTTTGTGGAATTACCTTGAGCCGAGTGTTTGTGGAGGTGACTGTTGAGGGTTCACACTCAGGTGTGAGAGTGGATGCTCACACCTGGTAGTCTGGAGTCCTTGCCGTGGGTAGGGCTTTTCTTCCCCAGGAGGGCTCTACCCGCCCAGTGATTTCTCTGCTGCGAGCTGAGATGCCCAGCCGGTTCATCTGGAGATCCAGGAAGGCCCCTAAGGGTTGATTTAATTTTTTTTTTACCTACAAAACAAGGTCTCTCTATGTAGCCTGGGCTGGCCTAGAACTCATGAGAACCCTCTTGCCTCAGCCTGCTGAGTACCAGGATTATATGTATGAGCCACATTTGAGGGCTTTAATGTCAATTCCAGTCTCCTTCCAGTTTTTCAGTGTGGTCTTCTCTGAACAAGGCACAGGTATATTTTGATTGTGTGATTTGAGATGGAACTTGGTCTGGAAGTAGCAATAAATTTGACAGAAGAGAGGGAAGAAGGAAGGAAGGGGGGAGGAAGGAAAGAGGATTTTATACACAGCAGGTACACACTT